CTTTATTTTACAGATCCTTAATATTCTCATTTGCTATATGTTTCCGTTGATCATCAAGAGAAACTAATATTGGTACAAAAAGAACTTGACAGAGATCGCGGAGTAGTTTTATTTCGCAATACACAAGCCACGCTTGCGAAGGAATGATAGGGTTAAACGTCGGGATCGCTGTTGCTCCTGCACCCTTTTCTCCTGTCGATCGATTACTCGACCGTTCGCGAAGATCGTTAGATTCGGAGGGAACAGCGAGAAGCCCAGTTCCTCTCATAATGCAGGCATTCGCTTTGGCAGCGTGAAAGATGAAAAAGAAGAAAAAGTACGATGAAGATGGCAGCGAGTGGAGCAGACTGGAGCAAAAGACTTATAAAGACTCGCGAGGGAGAGGTGGAGGAGGAGGGGGGGGTGTGGAAGCTCAACGAGAGAAGAGGGGGACGAGGAGGAAAGGAGAGAAACCAGCATCGGCCGCGCTTATAATATAATATTCATATTTCGAACGAAAGATGTTATCTCTTAAATGAATCGAACGCGCTCCGATTCGAGATATCTCGAACTCAAGAGCTCGACGCATTGTAATGGCCACGAAGCCGAGCGGCTCTCCATATGCCTTAAAACTAATACATCACGCACAACAGAAAGTCTCTCTTTCTTTCTGCCTCCCGCTTCCCCTCCCGCACCTCCTCCTCCCAATGCTCCCCTTTTCTCTCTTCCGATCGTCGCTCTTATTACTCGTATCATCTTCTCGAGTTTCGCGTCCGGTCGGCCTCGGGATAAAAGTAACGCATTTCATTCGATTTGCGGAATATCTCTGGAGGCTATCAAAGCTGTCTAGCGATTATACATCTAAATTGCTACGATAATAGATAGTCTGTTATCAATTGCTTTCGAAGTATTTGAAGCTTCTCGCTATATCATATATATATATAGATGAAAGAAGTTTGTCTAAAATATCAATCTAAATATTAAGTAATATTATAATTTCTTCTAAACTAGGAATGTGTAGTGATTAGATATTTATGAAAATGACCCCCCAACTCATGCCGTCCGTGAAAGAAATTTCGTTACAACGATAGAAGTTTTACAACTGCGACTCGATGGTCCGGCGACTTTAACGAAAGGGTTTGAATCGAATTTTTCTTCCCCCCCGCACCGTAGGAGCGGAATGTATTGACGGAAAAAAAAGTTGTCGAAGAGAAAGAGTTTGGCTCGGTCAAGCACCCCGCGCTCGTATAGTGGCTCCCTATGACTCTGAAGTTTCGAGGCGCTCTCGAGGCTCTATCTTTCTGGCCAGATCTCGGCGGTCGGAATGATTTTCGAAATATGATTAATTGCCCAACCGTGGCATTTCGTCGGCGCACAGGCTTCCAAACCGACTACATACTGGTGGATATTTTTCTGCTGTTATAAGTCTTCGCGGCATGCGCCCCGCGACTCGGGGAAACTGGTTCCCTCGATTTTCGTTGCTTTGCATGCCTCGTTAAAAGAAGAAAACTTCAAAAAAAAAAAAGTCAAAACGTCTCTCGACCGTCCAATATAATGGTGGCGATTGTTATCGAGCTGGAGAATTAATTAATTGCTGTCACTTATCGTTAATGCGCCGCTAACAAAAACACGCGTTATCGCATACTGAAAGGTAAAAATAGTTGAAATAGCGAAGGGATATAAAATCTGAAGAATCTCATTAATTCAGAATCCAATCAAATTGAGTTAATGGTCACAATAATATGATTCAATATTACACACCTCTCAATCAACAATACGTAGCTGTACGTGGATAAGTTACTGTTTAAAAAAATGATACAAATCCAGATTTGAATCATTATGAATTTTAATGAGAGATGCGACTTGCGCAGACAAATTGGCCGATATATCAAATTGAACTTGTAAGCTGTCAATGGAAATAATGTTGCATGCATGTTCTCTTAAACTTTTGTTTGTAATTATAGCGTTTTGTACGTCGCAGCGAAGCATTAGCCATGCATCGACACGGTCGAAATACTCCCGGTGGTTCGTTCGCGCAACACGAGCGTGAACACGGGCCAGAAATGGAAGAGGATAGCTTAAACACCGCCTCGACATTTGTAAAATGCGCTTTGGACCGGTCCCCTCCGTCCCGCCCGGTCGCACCGACCGCCTCTCGCGCGTACGCAATTACAGCCAATTTCGCGTAAACGCGAGCAAAACAATTTGTATCGCGGCGCAAATGCGAACGAGAGCGAAAGAGACGAGGAAACGCCGCGTGCAGCGGAGTAAAACGCGAACGCAGAAACACGGGCGGTCGAAGGAGAGCGAAAGAGAGCGAGATCGTACGAAGACGGACCTTTATCCACCCCGGCCGATGTCCTCTTTCCGCTTTGTCCCACCCCCCTGCCGCCCTCTGCCCCCTTTCTTCCTTTAGATCCGATCCTGGAGGCACGCCGGGCCTTACTCCGCACCTCGCGGGCCGCAGGCGGGATTTTTAAATTTTGTCACGTTCAAGTTTAAACACAGTCATTTGTTGCGATCTCCGCCGCCCCAGCGCCCATGCCTTTTGCCAATGCCGATCTTGTCCCTTCCCTCGCGCGGACCATTCTTTCTCTCTCTCTCTCTCTCTCTTCCTCTCCTTCTGTCTCTCTCCTTTCTCTCTTATTCTATCGCTCGTTTATTACGTTCCTTCTTTCGTTTCATTATCCGTATGCGCGCGTCTATGCTCCGACGAATTTTTTTCTGCGCAAAGAAAGCGTGAGCGCGCCCACGTTTCGAAGAAGAATTTGCAAAACGACCAAACAGTTTAATTAATGCAATGCTCATGAATCTGTAAGCGAAGGATTTAAAGATATCCACCTATTTATTGAAATTAAAAACGCAAGAACAAAATCTTATTTTGTAATACGGAAAATATTTTTAAACGCGTCAAACACGCGCGCAAAGTCTCGATGCTCGCTCGAGGCTTTCGGCTTTCGGCTATCGTTTAACTGTATGGATACTTCCAAAATAATAGTATTTTAAAAAATGTATTACCATACAGAAAATTCGAAACTCTAAATAAAATTAAAACTTAAACCTGATTAAAAAATTATTATAATTATAATTCTAACGCTAACATCAAGTAATGTTTTAATACGATTTTATTACGTATATTAGGTTTAATCGAAATTCGCTACACGATTCTAGATATCTATCAGTCATTCCTTTTACATCTTTCTTCGTACTGCATTCAAAAAGCCAAGCACCGGTCTCCTTTCATCGGTAGAAAATTATGCCAATTCGAAATTATAACATCCGCAACCGCGAGCGGATGTAGTTTCGTTTCGCAGCTATTGTTTTTCTGAGGCACGTAATAACGCACGGCGGGATAAAATCGATCGCGGCCCGAAATCGTATTTCGGTCTTCTCCGTGATCGAGATCAGGAGATTAGCTAATTGCGAACCAAAGGATCATACATAAATTTCAGATTACATCGGATTATATCGGCAAGAATTACGGTGTGACTATCTCTTTTGCTCAGAAATAAAATGAGAGAGAGAGAGAGAAAAAAAAGAGAGAGAAGCGTAAAAATGGAAGAATTATTTTAACATATTTCTCTGCATTGGAAATATGCATGAGTGATATAAAGTAGCTCTTAAAATTTTAAAATATGATATCGTTATAACGCGACGAGATAATCTCAATGTTTTTAAATACTTTCATAAAGTAATCATGCTTTTAAAATATGAATAATAGTAAAAATGGAAAGCTGATAACAATTGTGATAATATCGAAATGTACGCTCGCACTTAACTGATTCACAGATCGTAATCTCGTTATCGCGTTTTCTGCCGTTTTCGTATAGTAAAGTTAGTAGTTAGTTTTCGTATATCATAGTTTCGCATTTAATGAAATATCCAACAAATGGAAAGTGAGATAATGACAAAATTTTGTTTTCATCTCGTATCAGAGAGTACCGCGTTATCTAATCTAATTGGCTGCTATAAATCGATGACTAGGTCAAGTGTTTCCAATATCTACTACATCTTTTTATTGATCAATATATTAAATATTTGAATTATTCATAACTATATGCACACAAGAAATTTTTGAGGACTCTCGTAGAGTTCGACATTATCATTGAATGTAGTAAATTGTTATTCTTTCAATGATTTTTCAATCGGAATAGAATGGATCACGATATTACGTTTCTGGTTTTTCTCTGAATTGTGTTTATTAGCGATTTATTTCGCGACTTTCTAACCCGCCCAACGAGACGGGGAGGATGAAGGAAAGAAAGAAGAGGCGGGCGATCCGCTAAAATGAGAGAAAATAGAGAAAGAAAGAAGAAAAGGGATCGAAGGTCCGAGGAGGAGGAATCGCGATACCATAATATCGCGGTTATACCAGGGTCTGTCTCTTTTCAAATAATTCAAAAACCGGCCGATCGAACATATATTCCTGAGCCGACTCGCAGCTCGTACCGTGTAATTATCGTAGAAGGGCCCAACAGACCCTGAATCGCTGAATGCCCGCAGTGGTGGTCAACCTCGGTCGTGCGGCCTTCGTGCGGATCGATCGTGAATTCGCAACGGCGCGATCAAATCGCACAAATAACCGATAAAGCCCATTATTATTGATTACTAGATGCGATTACTCAGCGTGATTATTCAGCTTTAACTCTCAGGTAAATATTACAATATTACTTTCGACGAAAAATACGATTAGATCACGATAAAATATACGAGCAAATAATGAATTTTTATTTTGCTCAATATCTACATCTTTTTATTTATACTTGCGAAAATTTAAGAAAAAAATAATGTGAAGTAAAATTTTTATTTTAAAACCAGTGGAACAAAACGATATGATGCAAAACTAAGAAAACAATGTACACTTTTTGATATAAACTTTTTCTTTTATCAATGTGCAACCGCTCTTCATCAACGTGCAGAGGTGGGCGATCTATGCGAGAATTCGTGGATCAAGATTACGCGATTCGCACGAAGCCGCAGTGGTACGACCTGTTAGATCATATTGTACGTTTGTCCCTTACCTTCTCTACGGGGCGGTGCAAGGATCCAGCTGTGGCTCTCCCCAAGGTCCTCGCGCAGGATACACGCCTCGTCGCGCAATCGATCCGACCGATTTCTTTTGCGGGACCCTGCGATAAATCACTAATCTTTATCACAATTCCAAATATTTTTCATTCTTATATTTAATTAATTAAATGTGCGAAATATTAAAATATAAAAAATTTTATAATATAAGTTTTTTTCACACATTTGGCAAACTGTTGATTCGTAAAGTTGAAAGACAAATAACAATTTCGACCGTCTAAAGACTGATGGTAGCGCGAAATATCAGTTTCTTTACTTTTCACAGATTTTTTTATCTTATCTGTTTCTCTTTCTCTAATCGTAAAATCTGCCTATAAAAATACCAGCATTTCTTTATCGTTCTATGTGATCGGCGCAAATATCTTCCCCTCCTTCGCTTAGAATCCGTTCTCGAAACAGTGCGATTGTCTAATTTATGTTTGAGTAAACACTCGATAAAAATCTCTGCTTCTCTTTTCTGTGCACAACGTATTTGTTATCAATCTTTAACTCATTAATTGATTACTATCATTCGATTTATCCAAATAGACTGTAGAATTTATATACAAAATCCAATTATGTAGTAAAGCGGCGTAGTAAAGTTCTACCTTCATCCTGTGCCATAAGGTGCCTAGATTTATCATTTCTCGCTTTCCTCGTCAGGGATGAAATTTAAATATAGCAACGGTTGTCGCTGCGGCAACCCCTCGCTTAAAATGCTTGCACTCGCGTCTTTTCCCGATGTTCCCACGACAATGTGGGACGTATTTGAGAAAAGAAAAAAGATCTAAGAAGGGTTACGGACGGATCGTCGTCCTTCGAGAGTTAGTTGGATCAGGAGGACTTCCGGCGCGATAAAAAGTTCTTTCCTCGTCGCGGTGTAACCCCGGTGTACTTTTTCCGTCGCTTTCCGAAGGGTGCGCGCGTAGGAGAAATATGAGACAGGCATGTCATTTAGCGCGACATCAGGTATGTTCATAGCGACTCGATTAACGTCGTATACAGAAATCTTTGAGAAATTAAATTTGTGTGAATTTACAACAAAATCAAAGCCTAATTAAAATAAATAAAACAATGCAATAAAATTAATTATAATTTTCTAAAAACTATTTAATTATTTAATAATTTATAACAGTTAAAACTGCCTTCAGGCAACTGACTTCTCTCATAGGACACCTGCTTTAACGTCTATTCGAGAGAATTTTATAGATCCATCCTTACAAAATGAAAACGCATAAAAAAAAGAAACTATTAAAAAGATTCTCATGCCGTTCGATCATTAAGATTTTCACGCCGTCGTGGAACTCTTTTACCGGCATCGTTTGATCGATGGATCCGAGAGAAACCCCTTCCCGATAGCCGCTGGAAAATCTCGCGATGATGAGAGGAGGGTGTGAGGAGGAAAGAAAAAAAAATTATCGAAGAATCTGAAAAACGGAGAAATCTCGAAAGAGACGATGAGAAATCGGTTGATCGACGCACGAACGACGTATAAAAGGCGAGGATGATTAATCGTCACGCAGATCGTTAAGGCGGCCTGAGATTTACTCGAGTCGAGAATTTTCCCCCGGTATTTTTCTCTTTTTTGTCGCCGATCGTTCAGGGGGGTCACGTTTACCCGGCTCGCGGAAGTTCCGGCGCAAATTACCGAAACCAAATCTCCTCGCTCGACGAGCGGAAGCGGGACTTACTTGAGCGCAACTTGTGCATTAAATTACGAGGGTTGTCGCAACCCACTCTCCAAAATTACCCTACTTCCCACAACCTGTAACGTGCCCGGTTGCGCATTTCCAAGAGTGCGGGAGACGACGTAGAAAAAAAAGCGACGAAAAAACACCCTCTTAGGTTTGTCAGTTCGTGTGAACCAGCAAAGAAAATTATGTCTCTCCACTCTTGAGTTAATTTGACTAGCTTTAGTGTTTCTTGATTTATGCGATCAATAAGTAGTAAGATAAATGACACGTAGAAAGTATAAAAGTAATTAGCGGCACGGAAAAGAATATTGCAAAGCGCTTTAAAAGATGTTAGTGAGTTTTTTTTTCTCGAAGAAAGAAATTAAATTTTTAACTTGTTTTAAGAAAACAATTAATTTATAATTTATCACACAAAAGATGAGCAGAAAATTTAAAAAAATATACTCTTGTGCTTCCTTGCAGAGATTTCTCTACGGAAAGCGCGAAGTGAGTTCAATGAACCGTAATCGACATATTTGTAATTCTAAAATTACGGGACGCCCGATAAGTTGAACCGAACGGGCCGAATCTCCCGAATGAGGGGCCATGTGCGCGTTTGTGCCTCGAGAATGGTCGAAGAGATCTAGTGGCGGGTACGGGATCTTCGAAGTCTGCTGTTTCTCAAGGAGACGCTATCTCATCGGGCGGGTTTTGCTCTCCAAAAGCCTCCGGGAATTATGAGGATAAAAGTGTTTTTAGCATACCGCGTGCACTGACACAATGACAAATCATATTCTACGAGAGAATGACTTCATCATCGTGAAAGAAATTCGTCGAGATTTACATGTGCCGCAAAATGGCGTCAAGTTGTATCGGAGACAGTAAATTTGAAATATAAAGAATAATTTCTCTTCTTGAAGTATTATTTTTTGAAGTTATAAACAATCTTTGCAAATTTCTCTTTCTTTCTTTTAAAGTACTCTTCGGTACAAAGCTATTCGCACTGTTGTAATCTTATCCCATGTCATGGTACACTTTTATGCGACTCGCTCATGAATTCTTACATGATTCGTACTTTATTCCCCCCTTCAGTCGGACACGCGTACGCATTCGGTACTTTCTATTATCTGAATCTATTTTTACGATGACTCCTCCTTTGAAAGCAGTTCCTTTCACGCCCGCTCGCTCCATAGACGATGCTAAGCCGATCGACGATCCCCGAAACAGGATTTTTTTGTCGCGCGTCGTAAGATCTTAAGAATTTCACGCGAGTCACGTTTTGGACGGGGGACCGTCGTGGAGGCGTAGAGCCGTGACTCGAGATTTTTCAGACACGATTGAAGAAGAGACGCGAAATGTTTATATACAGGGTGTTTGGTATTGATATGTCTGTGGAATAATTGATTCCAAGATTCGCAAAACCATGTATTACATTTCCCAATGATTTTGCATTTAAATTGTGCAAAATGTTGCAAATAATCAGAAGAAAATTATATTTTTCGAGAAGAAATAATTATGCTAATTAAGTTTAATTTTTGCAAGAAATCTCGCACATACATACGCATTTGACAAAATAAACTGCATCTGACAATAATAATGTGTATAACTGAATTTATTGGGACTGTACGTTCTCCAATGACAAACAAGACGCTTTAATCTTCTAACTGCCTTGTCGAAAAAGATTAAATTAGTTTGGTACGGCGTAGAAAATATTGTGGAATCCGTTAGCGTTATCGAACATATCTCTATGAGCATGCGGCTCGTCTGAGGTAGACACGATACATCTTAAACACGAATCTCCGAACGAAGTCACTTCGGCTAATCGAGCCAGTCACGATCAACAAGTAAACGCCCGTTTTGAGACAAGTCAAGATTGAGTAGAATTATTCAATCATTGTCTCTTCTTCGGTCAAAGAAGAAAAATTCAAAATTAAACCATATATTAGATAGAAATCTTAATCAAATAAAATACAAGAAAGGTGTACCGTCATTCTGGTTTGGCCGAGTAATGGACGGTTAAACGGCGTCTTTACAAAGATGAAGACTGTCGCCTGAAATGTGTCTCGTCTCGAGAGGAATATTATCGACGCAAATGTCGGTATCAATGACACGACTGCGGAGAGCGGCAACGGTTATATACCCACGCACGATCGCGCTTAGAAACACAGGTTTCAAGACCGCGGCAGGGTGTACAGCTGTTACGCGCGGCAGCTGACAGAAGAAAGGGGTTAAGGACCCCGGTGTATCCGTAGACGAGGAGAGAAGAGTCGAATACGCGGAAGGAGGGGTTCCGATGAAGAAGGACCGTCGCGAGGAAGGGCGAGGAGGTGGCTCTCTCCGCGGGGCCATTCACGATCCCTGCGCAACCCCACAAGAAGGATCTTCTCGCTCGTCTCGCTCTTCTGGTCCCGGGGCCCTTCGCGATTTCTGGATTTCCGCGTCTTTAGTAACCCGAGAACCGAAAACAGTTGGGCAGGTAGCCTCGCTGGAGAAGAAACGAGCGAAGAAGGGGACCAAGCGTACCCTTCCAGCGAGAACCCTTTGAAGCGACGTGTGCAACCCTGAGCGGCGAGCGATCTCTGCGATTACGACAAAAAAAAAAAATTGTGCAAGATGACATCTCGTGCTCCCCCCCTTTTCATTCCCCACCCCCCGCTCGCCTATTCTCCTTTCTTCCTCCCGCGACGCCAACTTCTTCCAGGATGACGGAACCCCGCCGTTACCTGACTACCAAAAAATACCAGCTGTATTTTCTCTAGAGATTTTCGGATGGCGTCACCGACCCCCCCCCTCCCCCTCCACTCCTCGCTTCTCTCCTTCGCGACTGACGTGACGCGGCCTCTCTCTCCGTCCGACCGTCTCTCTCGCTTTCGTGCCGTTGTACTCTATCTCGGGCCACAGTCTGGTTTACGAGCTCGCGGCTTTTGATCGAGTTTGACGCTAGATCTTGATACTGTCTGCGAGTAGACGCTGATCCCGCATCGGTGTCGGTTTCGCGCTGGTATTGTCGATCGGGTTTATACGACGACAAAGAATACCGAGGATTGCGGCGAAGGGGGCCAAATACTGACGCGTTTGCGTGAAACATTTTGCAATATTTTTACAATAATAATAAGTAAACGTTACTTAATTTTAAACTGTTAGCAGAAGAATGAATACCGCGTAGTAGACTTTATTTTTATTTCAGTACTGTTTTTAAAAATTTACTTTTGTTTATTTAATTTTCATGGAACATAATGTATTACAGAAAGCTTCGTATTTTGTTGTATCTCCCGCCTTTTATTCTCGTATTTTTTTTTGCCGCGCGAGAGAGACAACGGATGAGCCTTTTAGCGCGGCGATAGAATCCTCTCCTTTATTTAAATCCCGCCACTTTATTTGACCCCTTGATG